TGCAAAGTAGTTATACAAATTGACATGACTTATGAGGAGGCTCCTCTCATTGACAGTGAGACAAGTGTTTCAATCTTATTCTCAAGTTGTTATTTATAATTAATTACTAAAATAATTTTTAAAAATAAGAAAACGAAATTAAATTAATCAAGTCCTAACATTCTCAGAGTATAATTAAGTATTTTATTGAAACTTTTTCATGAATAAGTTTTATAATTATGTTTCTTATATTTAGCTATATTTCAGACCTACTAAATATATTAATGGAACTCTTAGTGAATATAATTTTCCGAAAATATAATTCTCAAAAACCATACAAAATAAATAAAATAGAAATATATGCTAATTATCTCCAGACAGTTTGCTATTTTATAGAAAAATAAAAACAATAAATATTAAAAGTACGAATTTAAATTATTTTTAATCTTTACCTTTTATAAAAGTTAATTGAAATGGTAAAAAAAAATATTTTATTCTAACAACATATTATCATATCTATAACAAATTTTGTTTTAATTTTTACTACAATTCTTTATAATCTTTCCTTTTTTTATCTTATTATAATTGTTAATCATATGAATGCCAGTTAGTTAAAGGTTTTTATATTTGTATTTACAAAAAGTTTTTTTTTTCGACAAAATTGTAAATGGTTAACATGTTGAACTTTTGTAAGGTATTTAAAATCATGATCTCTCCCATCCATGTTTTCGTATTTTTATGATCCTATGATGATATATCAATAAACTAATTTTATTATATAATAATGATAATAATACACTAGTATAAAATAAAATGAAACAAAGTAATTATCATATGCTCATTCAAATTTATTGTCGAATACGAGATGATATTTTTGAAATTACAATATTGTCATCATTATAATACGTATAACTATAAATATAAAAAATATATCGTTTAATCTAAAAAATACATCGTTCAATATTGAATATAGTAGTTATTCGGTCATGTTTAATAATTATTATTATAGGTGTTATACTACGTTCTATATTTTATTCTCTCTCATCCTCCTTTCTCATTTTTGTCGTGTTTCTTTTTTCTTTTTTGTGTTTAGTTGTGTCGTGCGTTTTTTAGTTTCTTTTATTCCTGGAGCTACTCTTCATTTTGTCTCACCTCACCTTTCTCCCTTTCTCACGTCCTTCCTCTCTCACACGATTGGTTCTTTCTCCCGTGGTGGCAGTGTTGTGCTCTCTCTACTGGTGGCGATTTTTGTAATAGTTGGTGGTGGATCCAGCGTTCGTGTGTGGTCCATGGGAGCAGTCCCCTGTGGGTTAAGTGCAGTGGCGGATGTTGATAACTGATATTGAAATTAAATAATATATTATTAATAAATAATAAAAAAGAGAAAAGAGAAAAAGAAAATAAAAGGGTGAAAGGATAAAATTGTAGATATATATTTCAATATATTAAATTATCATTAAGTTTGAGAGGAACAAAACCATAAATTATATAAGAGTTACAAAACTGAGGAGGGGCTGAGAGGATAAAATTGTAAATATACAAGTAAATATATTAAATGTTCATTAAGTTTGGGAGGACCAAAATCATAAATTTTATGGGAGTTATAAAACTTTGGGGGAGACACGATCCCCTCAACTCCCAAGAAGATCCGTCACTGATTGAGTGGTGGTGCATATGATGGACTAATGGTCTATATATGAATATAGTTCTATGAAGGCCATTCTTTCCTTTTTGTTGTTAGTGTTGAGGGTTTCTTGTTTTATTAAATATGTAAAAAAGCAAACATATCTCAATCTATCTTGTTAAAGGTGGGCTGAGAGGTCAACAAATCAACTTGTTTATCATCTTTTTATATAAAATTTTTGTATTTTTAATTATATGAATAGTTTTTAAATTTTTATTTATTAATTAATATTTTTATTAGATAAATTAAAAATTATTAATTTTAGCTTAATTGATTAAATTTTATAATTTAAATTATAATATTATAATATATTTACATATTTCAAGACAAAAATATATAATATTTTTTTTTTTAATTTTAATACTTGGTCAACCAAGTTTACCCTTGGCCTACAAAGTTGGAAAGCCAAATGAGTTCATGGGATTAAACTATCAATTCACCTGCGAATCACAATTAAACTCGTATTCATGGGATCGATCCGTTTACGTCTTAAATTTGACGAAGAAAAATCGAGTTGATAAGAGTTGGGGTCGAGTTTTCCCGCTTTAAAAGGTCGAGGGTGGGGCTAGGGAGCACTCCGATCCTAACTTTATATTTAAATTTAAAAATTAAAATATTAATATTTTAAAAGTATTTTTTTCTTATTCCATTACATATGAGGTCATTTTTTTATATTTCACCATTTTTACCTTTATTCTACCTACTTTTTTAATTTTTTTGTCTTTATTAATCTTTTATATCAATTAGTTCATTACATTATTATTTTTCTCTTACATTTCACTTTTTCACATTTCCTTAATCATTTTAATCAGTTTGATGAACACAAAGTTACTTTTACTTTTTTTTTCTTTTTCTAAATATTTTACATAAATATTAATAATAATTAATATTATTTTATTTATAATTTATCTTTATTAGATTTACTATGTCATATTTTTTGGATCTTATTATTCTTTTTTGTTATATACAAAATTTATATTAATAAAAACTTGTATTTTTAAGGATTAAAAAGAATTGATAATTTAAATTTGTATTACTTTGAACTAATTAAATAAGAACTAACTTATTAAATATTTATTATAATTTAATAAACTATATATTTCATATTTTTAAATTATAACTTAAAAAAGAATTAACTTTTATATATATATATATATATATATATATATATATATATATATATATAATCAAATGATGTTATAAGTATTCTATATTCGTACAAAAATAATTAAATGTTTCTTTTATATACATATTTTAATATAAATATAATAAATTAAAATATATATTTATTTAATAATTATTATAAATTATAAAATTATAAATATTTATTTATGTAAAAAAATATATAAGAATAATAAAATTAATTTATTATAAATATAATTATTTTTTTAAAAATAATGTAAAATGGAGATGGAAAGAGATGAAGGAATCCAAAACCCAATGATGACGGTTAAAAAAGTCAAGAACGGGAATGGGGAGGCAAAACCCACCCCGGTCCATTGCCATGTCTAAATCCACCCCTTAATTTATAAATTACTTAATCTTGATTTCTAATGTAAGACTTATTAGTGTATATCACACTATAAATACATAATTCATGACTAAGGATAAAAACAAACCAAATATTTATGCTAAAAAATAAAATAATAAATAAAAATTCAAACATCTAAAGATTCTTGTTAAGTTTTGTATAATGAATTTAATGCTATTTATTGTTTTATTTTCAACCAACAACATGTACCAACTAAAATAATTAAAACATTTTAGTAAAAATTAATAACTTAAAAAACAATTAAAATGGAGTATAAGAAATATATCATAAACAAACTTTCAAAATATATAATTTCATGAAGTAAAATATTACATAGGAGTAACTATTTTAACTTTTATCTTAAAACAAACTTGTGTTTGGATTGGGCCGAGGATTCGATAGAATGAATATGAAATGATTTGAGTAGATTTGTGGGATTATTTGGATTAAGAGAAAGATAATGAATTTGAAGGGATTTAAGTGAATTTATTATAGCGGATCGATTGATGTAATTAAATATAAAAAAAATGAATAATAATATTTTAGTATAATGATCAAATTAACTTGTGAGGTAAAATGATATATTAAGTAGAAATGAAAGGTGTAATTATTAAAAATTTATATTTATTTTTAAAACTAGACATGAAAAATTTTAATTTGAGTGATAACATTGATTTTTTTTAATCTATCGATTTTGATAATATAATATTTTAAATTCATAATCTAATTTTAAAAAGAATAAATTTTAATTTTTTATATTTTAAAAAATGTAATATATATTTATGAAATTTAAACTATTTTTTTTAGTTCTAAAAATTATTTATTAAATTTTAAAATAAAAAGATAAAAAAAATATTTAATCAACTTTTATATATAAATTTTTTCTATTTTCTGCAATTTATAATATTAAATTTAAACCAGTATAATATTTAATTTATATATTCTTTTAATATTGGATATAACTAATTAAAATATAATTTTTTTTTCATTTTAAATAAAATTATTTAATAAATTATTTATTATTAAAATAATGAAAACATAAAAAATAATATTTTATAAAAAAAGTTGAGACATAATTAATAATGCAAGGAGAGATAATGGATTATGTATGAATATTATTAATTTTCTCTTCATTTCTTTGTATGATAATAATATTTTTGTACATTTTTTAATCTCAATTTTTTAATTTTCTTTACAGATCAGTCCTCCTCCACTTTTCGCACCTAGATGAAACAGCCTTTAAATGTACCGTAAGTATATACTATAAATATATGAGGTTATAAGGTATAATTCAAATAAATCCGTATCTCCATTAGACATCCCTTATTATTTACTTAGTAACTCTCGACGAATCGTCTTCGGAAAACATCCCCTAACCAGCAACAAGTCAATATGAGAATAAGTAACCTGTATTTTTCGACACGTAGGAACACTGAATTTTTCGGTAATTATAATATTTTTTGAAAAAACTACTCTTACATATATATATAGAATATACAGGAACATTTAATCATTAATTTCGAAAACTGAATTCTTGAGTTATTTATTATTTATTAACTAAAACAATAAATAAAGACAGGTAAATTGAGACAATTAAAGAGCAGTCTCACAGAAAATGGAGACAATAACTAAAATATATAAATCTCTAATTTAAAAAATTATTACCTTTTTTTTTTTTAATGCATGACCAAATATTGGTCCTTACTACTCTCATGACGAATTTTCTCAGTTCTATTACCCTCGAGATACAATACACATGAATGAACTATGGTAAGTAGCAAAACTTTCAGAACTTATACATTGATATCAACTATAAAGCTTCTTTATTCTCCCAATCACCTTCCTCACAATTACCCTGTACTTTGTCCTACTAACATTACTTTTGCACAACCCATTACGCTTTTCCATCCTCAACCGTTCCTCCTCACTCCCCGAAAACGCACCGCTCCGGACAAATGACTTAAAAAGTTGAGGATACAAAACGACCAACGACTCCCTCAGTTTCCCCGAAACCCTCACCTTCGACTTCGAACCCTTGCCGTCGACACCGTAATGCCCAACTTTGACGCGCCCGTTCGCGTAGTCGTCGCACGCGCTCAAAATCGCACGTGCCTGGTTACGAAAATGGCAAACGACGAAGGTTTCGAAGTTCAGCGGCGGGCGCCGTAGCAGGCACAGCATGGTCCTACAGTTGAGAACGAAAACGGCATCGTTGTAAGCCCGCGACTGCTTCTCGAGGAGCACGCGTCCGCGCCCTAAAATCTCAGCCCAAAAGTCGTTGAAAAACGGCTTGTCGTTTAGGACAAGCGCTTGGATCGAGAGTAGCAGCTGCAGCACGGTGGAGCGACATGGGTCCCACCTCTCGTGTGTTTTCCCGATCCACGTGTTGATTAGACTCAAGCACACGTGGCCGTCGCTGTACAAGTTCGGATTGATGAAGTACCCGTATGAGCGGTAATGGACCTCCGGCGGGTTGATCGGGTAACCCGGTGGGAACGCGATGTCGAAAAAGAAGAGGCCGTCGTGGTAGGGGGTTCCGGCGGCGCCGACGATCGTTGCTCGGAGTAAATCGATGCGTTTCTCGTAGACGCGAACGTAGATGGAATCAGGGAGGCTTTGGGCGAGGATTTTCCACTCTCTCATGATCCTCTTGTAAACGTTACTCCCTTTGTTGCCGAAGCCCTCCATTTCGGGGCGTGGCATTAGGAAGTAGTGGTCCGTGTCGTCCGAAACGACGTCGAAGGGTTCTACGTTGTTGCTGGTGCCTGCTGCCATGTTGAGAATGGGAATCGGAACAGATTTGTTTTGCTCTGATGTATGTTTATGAGAGTGAGTGTGACGGTTTATATACATAATAGGGTGATAAAGGGGCACGTGACACTTGATGCGCAATTTCTGATTGAGTTTAATGAGTATATAATTAATATATCACGTGCTCACATAAACTCTTAACGTCAAAGATGTTTTATTTCACGTTGTAAATATAAATATTAAAATTAAATAATTTTCCCATATAAGTATAGAAAATTTTTGGCTGCTTGAATGTTTCACTACTATTTTAGTTTTTGTGTGGTCATTCTCTTTTTTGGAGTTTATTATATATATATATATATATATATATATATATATATATATATATATATATATATATATATTATTTACGTCTCGGACAAAATTTAATGCACAATGATTTTATCTAATTAAATTATTTTATTGTTCTGACATCATGTTTGTTGATGGGGTATTTTTTGCTTTAATTTTAAGTAATTCAGTGACACATTTTTCTTCAAAATATCTTATACGTTTCACACAACTCTAATTAATATTATTAATGAAAAGGTGAATGTAAACATCATTAATGTTTGAAATGTAAATATTGAAATAATGTTCAGTAACAATTAATACTTAATAACATAAAACTCAATTCATTAATGTTCAGTAATGTAAATATTGAAATAATTAAATAAAATAATAATTGTTTGAAATATTTTTTCCAAAAATACATGTAAGTTGTTTAAAAATGTAAATTATTTTAATAAATGATTTTTAATAATAAGAAGAAAATGGATAGAAAGCAAAATCATTAAAGTTTCTTCATTTTTTTTATTTGAACAAAACTAAGTTACTTCAAATGAAACTCATTTTATATTTTTTAATGTGAAAAAAAAATTAAGATGAGTTGTTCTCGTTAAAATTTTCTTAACGAAACTCATATTTTATATTTTTGAATGTGAAAAAAAAAATCAAAATGAGTTGTTCTCGTTAAAACTTACTTAATGAAATTCAATTTATCAATATACATAATGACATAATCAATTAAGTTGGAGCGAAACTAAGCTCATTAATCAACATTCATTAATTGCATCATCAATGTTCATTAGTTGTAAATAGAACCCAATTCAATAATGAACATTAATTGCCTAATCAATATTCATAAATTCAAAGCTTCTCTTGCAAGTTTGTCTTTCTTTTTCTTTTTTCTTTTTTAAATACCTTGTATGTCCATCTGTTTACAACTTTTGGTTCAAAAAAATTAGCATTTGTTAACTTTTAGAAGAATTTTCCACCTAATATTAAAACTTATTTATAAAATTATATTTTGAATTATTAGATTCACGGATCCATCATTTTTATTATGTCTTAAGAGAATGACATGTTTGGTACTTATTTTCTGTCATGTTTTATTTTATTTTTTTCTTTTCATTTTATAGAAAAAAATTATATATATATATATATATATATATATATATATAAATTCATTACATTTATTATATTTAACATAAATGTTTTTTTATACTATTACACATTATGATTTGGTACTTATTTTCTGTTCATATTTTCAAATCCATAATAAATAATGAAGTCATATCATAATAATAATATGCAATAAATATATCTAATTAATATTATAAATAGGACTATCATATATATTAGTATAATTTTTTTTCTAAATTTTCATTTACGATTATTTGTTAATATATTTTTGTTACAGAAATAATATATATGATTTTTACAAAAAATACACGTGTTGGTTTTTTATTTGTTTTTGTCTAAACTTGTCATTTACGGTTATTTGTTATTGTATTCTTTTACAAAATTAATTAATATATATGATTTTTACTAAAAATACACGTGTTGGTTTCCTTTGACCACAATTTTCGCCTCCCAGTGGTCTTTTTGCATGCTTCCTTTCTCCATGGCTTCCATGGAATTCAAGACTTAAAAGAATATTAATGTTTGATATTGTTATAATTCAACACTAATTTAAGTGGGTTTCTTTAGAGTCAACATTAGTGAAATTAAGACTTGAGTGAAAAATATCCTTTAAGGTAAGGCCTAGGATTTTTTTTCTTTTTAATTTTAGGATTTTTGACTTTTTAATTTAAGGAAAATCATTCTTTCACAACCCAAGTGGTTATTGAATAGATGTAAATTTGGGTGGCTCCTGAATGAATATATTTGGATAATGGATTGTGTATATACCATTCTCCTTAATTTAAACATCGTATTCAGTATTTATTGTTTAAATTTTCAACTATTTGTTATGATGATATTACAGCAAAAATTTTGGAATATACCAAAATATGGTATTAAGATTTTCCCTGGTACACAAGGATGATGACAATGGTGGCAAAGCTTAAAAAGCCAAATTAAATCTGGGTTTAGGTACTCAGGAGTTGTTCTAATTTAATGATCCTATGTTAAGTTTTATGTTAATAATATTTATATTTTTTACATATATTATTCTATTGTTAATAATTTCTTCAACAAAAAATAATTTTTATATATATAGAGAGAGAGAAGGTGGTTGTTAAATGAATTATTGACAATGGTTGAATGATAAAAGCAAAAGATTATGAAGGGAACCATAAACAATGGAAGCTTTATTTTGAAGCCCTAAATTTGAAGACTAGCTTAACTCTAGCTACTATTATTGTTTCCAATGTTCTTCCATCCAAAAGACTGTTTGATCTTATCCATCATCGTTTTGAAGAATCCACCACCTTTGTTTTCGGGATCCTCCATCCAATCGCCATCGGTGTCATTCCATGCCGTGACCACGAAGTTCGTCGTACATCGCAAATCAACACCGTCCACAGGAGCACCGTTCTCGTTCTGTCGAAGCGCGCGAACAAACAGTGGGAAAAACTCCTTTATCCTGACCTTGAATTCAGGCGAAACGACCACCCCCGATGAAGACGACGGAGCCGACTCGCACGAGTAGTACCCGATCCTCACGTGCCCACTCGCGTACTGCCTTCCAGCGTCGATTATGCGACTCGCTCTCTCGCGAAAGTGGCCACTCACGAACTCTTCGAAGTTCCGAGGCGGCCTCCGAAGCAGTTGGTACGAGGTTCTGCAAGTAGTAAAATACGCACCCTCGTTGTACACACGTGACTTCTTCTCCAAGCTCAAGCCGAAACGACCCAAACCCTTGTCGACACCAGGCTCGTTGAAAAACGGCTTCTCGTTCAGAACAAGGGCTTGGATCGAGAGCAAAACCTGCAGCATCGTCGACTCGCTTGGGTCCCACTTCTCTCTCTTTCTCCCGTGCCACGTGTTCAGCAGGCTCAAGCACACTTTTCCGTTATTGTACAGATTAGGGTTCAGTCTGTACCCGAAGGAGTGGTAATACAGCTTCGGAGGGTGCTTCGGGTAATTCGCAGGGAACACGATGTCGAAGAAGAAGATACCATCGTGGTAGGGTGTGCCCACGGCGCCTACGATTACAGCCCTCATTAGATCAATGCGTTGCTCGTACACCCTGACGTAGATTGATTCCGGCAAGTTCTTCTCCAGAATCTTCCACTCTCTCATGATCGTTTTGTAAAGTTCACTGCTTCCATCGTTGAAGCTCTTCCCATCATTCGAATCTCGAAAACGATGGTCTCTGTCGTCCGTCACAACATCGAAACGCTCGAACCCTTTCGTCGTTTTCCTTTCCATGGGTTGCTTGGATCTCTGTTTCTCAACTGAGAAGGAACCCATTGCAGGATCTTGTGGAGTATGGTTTTAGCTATTCTTTGTAAGCTTTGGTTTCGAAATCAAACTATTTAACAAACAAAACTACCCACTCCGCATTCACGATTTTAGACGCCGTCTTACAAGATGCTACTGTTACAACAGAACTCACATATTTAGGGTTACTTCAAAATAAAACTAATTTTATTGTTACAATTGTTTTTTAATAAAGTAAAATCTTACAACAAGATTTCCAATTAATATTTTCTGCTAAAAATAATATGGAAATATGTACTATATTTATTGCAAAAACAACTTTCTGTGTGAATTTTTTTAGGATGTTATTATGGTGAACTAATAACTGAAAATACATGTTATTGTCATCTTTACCTGAGGATCTATCATTTTATTTCTAATTTTAATATTTGAGTCAGTAAACAAATTATATAGACTGAAAAATAAATATTTATAATTAAATCTTATTTTGAATATTCAAAATCTTATTAAATTATAATTTTCAAATGAATTATTTTAAATTTAGTAGGTGAATTGAACCGTATACATTTTTTTTAAATTGTTATCATTATTAATATTATATAATATTTTTATGCTCAATTTTAACATAGTATTTTAGATTATTTTATTTTTATTTAAATTATTATGTATTGTAGTATGATGAAATATATTATATTTGATTAATATATAAATATATTATACAACAGTAAAATATAATAATTAAAATTGTTATTTAAAGTTAACATATTGAAAAGGTTAATAATATATAATTGATTGTACTTGTACAATATTAAGCTGTAACTGTTAAGTGTTTATGGTGAATTTAAAAAATAAAATAAAAACTGTCATAGATAATAAACATAATATGAATGATATTAATAACACATAATAATAAAACTTTAACTTCTAATTTGTAGTCAGTAGCTATATGAAATATTTTATTTGATCAAGCAATTCCTAATTAATGATGTCTATAATTTTATCAATAAAATATGATATTTTTATCTTAGAAATTATGTTATTACGTATGTATAGTCGTGTATACGGTGTAACTCCTCAGTCAAATAGAAAATTAGAAATAACAATTAATTAGTTAACAATAATATGATTTATAAAAACAACTATATGTTAAAAAAAACTTACAAGAAAAATTATTGACAAATAAAAAAATGTAATGATGCTAAAATAATAATAATAATAATAATAATAATAATAATAATAATAATAATAATAATAATAATTTAACATAATATTTTATAAATATGTAGATAAGGAAATTGTTGCGTACAATACAGAACAAATTATATTGTATGAACATTAAGAATTAAAAACAAGGGTTTATAGATATTTTTGTTTAGTGAATATTTTAATTTAAATTTCAACATTAATTTTTTTTATTATGTCACATATTACCTTATATATTTCTATTTATTTATTTACGATGTATTTCAATTTAAATTTTAATATTCATATAACTTATCCACTCTAATTATTTTATTCATTACTTTGAACTCCAAATTATTATATTACTTTATTTTATCACATATTTTATTCTATCTTTTCGCCTATTTTATTTTTCATCGTGTAAATTCTAGTTTTATCCTATTACTGTTTCCGTCTAATTATTTTATAAATTACTTTGAACTTACAATTCCTATATATTTTAACTTGTCAAGTATTTTAATCTATTTCTTATAATCATGCATTGAATTTGAATTTTATATTTTTTAATCCCATAATAATAAAAAATGTTTTTCTAAATGTCATACTGTTATATTTGTCTATCTGTCTGTCTATATGTTACTTTCTGTTTGATCAGTTGAAGGAAGGAAAACATCAAACATGTAACATAAAACCCTATATTAAAAAATGGTAGAAAATTATCATGTGCCATGGTGAATTTAAATATTATTGATGCTTGTGATGTACGTATATATGTTTTATTATTTGTAAGGTGGTATTTTTATTTGGGAATATGTATCTTATGTAAGTGAATTTAAATATTTTAGGTCAATATTTATATCTCACACAAATATAAAACTGTGTTATACCAAAGATTTATACACCTATAATTTTTTACGTGAATAAATAGGGTGTTAATCGTTTCACAATCCAAATAATCAACAAACAATCCAAAATTATATTATGTAATATTGTATAATAATATTATTTGAAATTGTTTATTGGTTTTATAGGTTGTCAAACAATATTTTTTAATAAATAACTAAATATAATTTAGATGTTGCGGGAAGAATCCGTCTGATATGATGCATCGTTGATAATAAATAAACGATGTTTTAAGTTTATCTAAAGATGACGATCTTGAATCTTATAATTTCACCGTGTAATAAATGCTTTGTAAAGTGTATGTTTATACTCAAATATGTTATATTATTTTACATGTAAACACAATTAGATAGAAATGTCAAAATTATCACATCAGATAAAAGTCATGAGTATTATGGAAGATGAGATGAAAATGGATAATATCTTGCTCTGTTTGTTAAGTTCTTTGAAAAACGTGATATTTGTGTTCAATATACAATGTTAGTCACACTACAATAAAATAGTGTGTCAAAAAGATGTAATTAAACCTTAATAGATATGGTTAAGAATATGTTAAGTAATTCATGTTTATTTATTTTGTTGTGGATGTATGTTTTGAAGATTTTTATGTATTTGTGTAACATGATTCATAGTAAAGCATTTCAAAACACTTGTTTTGAGTTATGGACAAATAAAAAACCCATAATATAAGAATTGTTGAAACTATAAATGTTCGGTTAATTGAGAATGGTGAAACTGATGGAAGAGATTAAGGAAGTTAGAGTACAAACTCCAAATTAATGATCTCGGAATTAACAATTAGTCGATAGTAGAACAACCACAAGAAATAATATTAAAATTGACTTTTAACATCGGCTTCTAGCCTTCTACATCAGTTGTAGAACCAATGTAGAAAGTTTGTGAGTTTTATAAAACCCTCTCCTCTAGAGACTGATATTCCAATCACTAGGCTACTAGGATTTGCTCGATAATAACTTAAAAATAAATTATATTTATATACAAATAAATGTATATCTCGTGTAAATATATAAATATAAAATATATAAATACAAATATATTTATATATTTTGATATATTTATATAGTTATATATTTATATGTTGGATGTGAGGACGCGCTTGAAGGTGAAATTGTGTGTCGAGTGAGTTTTTAAAATTTAGTAACATAATATAATTTTTATAATTTATTTATATAATGATATAACATAAATTTTTTTCTTTATTTATTTTAATTTTTTCTTTTTTTCTTCTATTATTTAATTAAAAATCTTATATTAAAATAATTTTTTCAATATTAAAAATACTTAAATATTTATTTTTAAAATTATTTAATTTAAAAAATTATTATAAATTAATCTAATTATGATTAAGGGTGCAACTATTCCAAGTTGGGCGATAGAGGTTGATTCGCGAGTGAGGAACGCGAGGATGGGTGAAGGGAAATAGATGTTAGGGATTCGATTGGGGAAGGAAATTGGAGGGACGGTGGTTTTCGTGACTGCGATGGGGGCAGGGGAGTAGGCGAAGAAGGTTTTGGTGAGGGGATAACTGGAAGTGGCAAAGCTGGGTTCCGATGGTTGAGCTAGGCGTGACTGGCTTGCGGTGGCCGATTGATGTGGTGCAGGAGAATGAATTTGGGAGGTTGGGTCTTGGTAATGGCTGGAAATGAGGAGCAAGGGAAGAATAAGTAAAAATGGAGGTTCCCAGGGGGAGGCGAGCCTATAAAGGAGACAAATGTAGAAAGTCTGTCTAAAATTTTTATTAATTATTTTTTTAAAATAAAAAGACTTTCCACATTAGTTCATTTGGGAACCAATGTGGAAAGTCTTAAAAAAATTTCAAAATTGTCACTGCGTCACTTTCTACATCGGTTATTTAAGAACCGATGTAGAAAGTCCGATGTAAAAAGTAGATTACTGTTCTAGTGATTATATGGTTTATCTACAAAAGTCAAAAAATGATTTAAGTATTAATAATGACTCAATTTTATTTTTAAAAGTCATTAATGATGATAATTCTGACAAATTATTCGATACTATGAAAAATGAGCTTAAATCAATGGTACATAATGGTGTATGGGATCTTGTGGAATTGCCACAAGGATGCAAGAATGTTGGGTGTAAATGGATCTTTAAAACTAAGCGTGACTTTCATGATAATATCGAACGTTACAAGGTCCAACTTGTTACTAAAGATTTTACTTAGAAAGATGACATTGATCGTAAGGAAACATGTTCAACTGTTTCTAAGAAAGAGTATTTTAGAATTATCATGACATTAGTAGCTCATTATAATCTTGAGTTGCATCAAATGGAAGTTAAAATTTCTTTTATAAATCGGGATTTAGAGGAGGATGTTTATGTGGACTAACCAGTGGGGTTCATTGAAGAAGGAAGGGAACACATGGTGTGTAAACTTAACAAATCAATATATGGACTTAAACAAGCTTCTCGACAATGATATCTTAAGTTCAATGATATTATTATGTTCTTTGGATTTAAGGAAAATAATTTTGATTTGTGTATATATCGAAAAGTCAGTGAGAGCAAGTTTATATTTCTTAGTCTCTATGTTGATGATATTTTACATGCGACTAATGATCTTGGTCTATTAAGTGAGATTAAGAAGTTTCTCTCTAATAACTTTGAAATAAAAGATATTGGTGAGACATACTATGTGATAGAAATAGAAATATTTCGTGATAGATCACAATGACTGTTAGATTTGTCTCAAAAAACATATATTAATAAAGTTTTAAAGAGGTTCATAATGGATAAATGTTCAACATCTCCGATTCCAATACAGAAAGGAGACGAATGTAGTCTCATACAATGTCCAAAGAATGACTTGGAATAGAAACATATGGAAAATATCCCTTATGCATCTATTGTTGGGAGTTTGATGTATGATCAAACATGTACGAGACCAAATATTAGTTTTATCGTTGGTATGTTGGGTAGATACTAGAGTAATCCTGGACTAGATCATTGGAAAGTTATAAAGAAAGTCTTAAGATACTTACAAGGAACAAAGAATCACATGCTTACTTTAGGAAATCTGATAACCTTGAGATGATTGGATATACATATTCAGATTTTGCTGGTTGTAGATACACGAAAGTCTACATTTAGGTATGTGTATCTTTTAGCCAGAGGAGCGATTTTATGAAAAAGTGCGAAGTAGTCGACAATATTATCAAGACGCTGAAAATTTATTGTGATAATTCTACAACAATCTTCTTTTCTAACAACGACAAATATTCTAAATGTGTTAAGCATATGATATTGAAACATTTGTCGTTAAAGAAGAAGTTCATAAATGAATAGTGTCAATAATACATAGAAGGAAGCATGTCGATTAAATGACATGTAACCGCTATTACTCTTGTTATTGTTATATCTTTAATTATAAATAATGATAGAACCAGTTTATATAAAGTACTTTAATGTGCATTATGACTTAAGTATTAAATTACGAAATTATATAACATCACATGAGTCATGAGAGAATATTAGAATTAATTAATTAAATTAATTATATTATAAGGACCTATTGATTTAATAACATGAGTCATGAGAGAATGTATAACATCACATCACATGATGTGCCCAAATATAATTTAATAAAATATAAAGACCTATTGATTATTATAGAAAATCATAATAAAATAAAATAAAAATTTAGGGTAACCAACTTGATGGACGTTGGTTAATAAAAGAAGATTAGGATTTTGTCTCTAGCTACAAGGTTTTTCTCACAGTAAATCATCAGAAAAGTGTGACACGATACAGAAAAATAAAGAGATAGATTAGGAAGAGAGGTTGGACAAAGACATTGAAGAACTCATTCTCATTAGATATCTCTTATGGATCAATGTTAGTCTACTTATTATATTTATGTTATTGAGTGAGAATAACTAAAAAATAATTTACATGAAAATCATAAACGTTAATGGTGATGTTAAGGTTTTAGTTTCACATTTTTAGGAGTTGATATTAAGAGTAATTATATATATATATATATATATATATATATATATATATATATATATATATATATATATATATATATATATATCTTAACTTATTGAGGCGTTTTTCAATAACAAAATTATGATAGACTAAAATTTCAAAGCGGACAATATCTCGAACATGGAAATTAACCTTAATGATGTTATTATAATGGATATGAGACTGAAATACTCTCGTTTCTAGACGGAATATTAGTGTCCACCATGGGACCGAGAATAAAGTATCGCTTCATTCATACCTCTTAGTCATTAATTGAAAGGTTATGTTCTAGTATAATAATGAGTCTCAATTTATTTATATACACCTTCCTTTTGAGGTGTCTTTTAAAAACAAAATCGTAACATACTAGAGTTTTAAAACGAACAATATTCAAATATGACGTTTCATTCGTACTTCCTTAATTCTCAACTATGAGTTATCTTCATGTACAAGTCTCACGTCACTTTGAAATCGAGAAAAAAATAATAATTTATATATATAACCTCCTCTCAATATATCCATGAATAAGACCTTCAGTGCAAGAATTGACAGATGAACTCAAGCATGGGACATATTAAAAAGATGAGAGATTTTGTCATTAATTTAAAAAAAAAAAATTGTTGGTTAAATAGTTTTTTTGTTCTATTATTTTCTGCTTTCTATTTTATTTTATTGTTACTTTTTAATGTATATTTTGGTTACATTATTTTTTAAGTAAATTAATATCATTCTTTTCATTAATATCGTTGTGTTGAACTAGTAATGTGACGTAATTATGAATGTCAGATTCATGTAGACCTACTTCGCAATCGTAGTTAATGTTATCATCACGTAAATGTATTAGTGCTATACTATCTCAACGTCATGTTAACTTTTTGGTTAAATAACATAATAAAGTAATGAAGAACATTGACTTACTAAAACAAAAATTAAGGTCATATACATATAAAGAAAAAGAAAAACAATTGTTTCATCCCATTAATGGGTTAAAATGACGATTATTTTCGTCACGATTTTTATATTCATTTATGTCTTTTTTTTTATATTTTAAAAAAATTATTAATTTTTTCAATTTAAAAAAAATATTAAAAAAAAACTCTAAAGCTAATTTTAAAAGTTAAAAAGTTAAATCAAACGATCAGCGTATTTTCAATAATTATACTTGGAAAGAATATATATATATATATATATATATATATATATATATATATATATATAAAGAGAAGTCTTTGATGATAAAAAAGCATCCCAATATGTAAACGTCGAGTTATTGAAATTAAAATACGTCTAATCTTATTTTATCCTTGTGATAGATTAATCCAAAAATAATTTATTTGGTGAAATCTCTGGGAATATTACTTGGTAATATTGTTTGGAGAAATAATTGAAAAAAAAAACACTAAGAATTAATTAGTAATGACTTAAAAATAATACTAGCATTATAAGTTAAATGAATTTTTGTATGTTAGCTAGGAGCGGGACGTAATCTCAATTATAGAGAAAAATAATGATTCAACATATATATGTTTTTTTTTTTGTATATTTTAAAATATAAACATCATAAGATAGTTTTTAAAATATAAAAAAATTAGCGTCTATCTTTTTCTTCTTTTTTTAAATACGTATCATTTAATTTGGTCCTTGCCATGTTACTTAATAATTTCTCATTATTTAAATGATATTAATAAATGATAAAGAGTGAAATAAAAAAATATTTTTTTACAAGATATCAAAATTAAAAAAAATATTAATTAAAGACTAAGCTACTGTTTGGATTGAAGTAAATATTTCATAACTTTGAGTGGATTTAAGAGATTATTTACATAAAAAGAAAGACAATAAATTTAAATTTGAATTTAAGTAAATTTATTATAATTAATATGATTAAATATAATGACCAAATTACTTATGTAAGATAAAAAAAAATTAAATAGAAATTAAAATATAATAAAAATTAATAAAGACAGACATTTATTATTTAACCAACTCCTTTCTCACGTATACAATTACAAGATAGATTTATTATGATAATATGAGATCCACCTCCACCTCACCCAAATTCACTCAAATAAGCAAACCAAAAAATATGCCCCACACATCCCCTCCCTCAAATAATTTATTAAGTAAATCAGTATATGGAAACAAAAGATAAAAGTAAAATATAAATTTTACCAAGAATCAAGTTAGTCAAGTGAATCTGATTTATGGCTAACGTATCACTTAACAATAAATTATCATTTACTAAATGATATTGAACTTAAAAAGTAAAAAGAAAAAAATTCATGAATTTCTTTTATTGACAACTATAAGTAAATTTATAAATACAAAAAATTGTTTAAGTAGTTTTCGTTTAGTTCTTTTATAACGATGAAATGAAGATGGTGCTTGCACATTTTTTGATGTTGAAACGAGAGAGAGAAGAAGATATAACAGAGATAGAAAGAGATAAAAGTTAAGTAATTAACATGATTGTTGTATACTTTTTGGGACGTAGAAACATGGAAAGATCAGAAGAGATAAGATAGATAAAAGGGAATAAGAGTCAAGTAAACGAAACGGTTGATGATGTAATATATAATTAAAATTAAAGAAAAAAAGGACAAAAGAGAAATAATAACTGGTTAATGCTAAAATCTTTAAAGATTCTTGACATACAAAATATATTTTAAATGATTCTTATCATAAGAGTTCATCAAAAATTTGAAATTGAATTGTCTTGTTGCTTACAATTTTTGGGATTTTGATCTATGATTCAAATGAAAATTTGTTTGTAACTTGATATTGACGTTCTTTTTTAAGTGGGTTATTTTCTCTTAGATTCAAAATCCCCTGATCAGAACTTGTTGTTCTGTTAATATATTTATCTGAATTCTCGTCATGCGGGTTTCACAATCATTTATGTAGACACCACAAATTGAGATGGTGAAGAACTAGCCATAGCAAATTCGAAATTTCAACGACATGGAAAATACGAACGAGTTCGAGCACTTCGACGTGGTTTCAGACGATTCAGATCACCACTTTGGAGGTTCAAACAACGGAAAATGCTTCAACGATTCGAAGAGTGAAGTGCAGAAAAGCATCGTGAAAGAGTGGAAGATTCTGGAGCAGAACTTGCCGGACTCAATCTACGTGAGGGTGTACGAGCGACGCATTGATATGATGAGGGCTGTGATCGTAGGCGCCGCGGGCACACCGTACCACGATGGTCTCTTCTTCTTCGACATCATGTTCCCTTCGGATTATCCGAGAAACCCTCCGAAATTGTATTTCCACTCGTTCGGGTACCGACAGAACCCAAACCTCTACAAAAATGGGAGAGTGTGTCTGAGTCTGTTGAACACGTGGCACGGGAGAAAGAAGGAGAAGTGGGACCCATCCGAGTCTACGATGTTGCAGGTTTTGCTCTCGATTCAAGCACTGGTTTTGAACGAGAAGCCGTTTTTCAACGAACCTGGAGCTGTGCCCTCGGAGAAGAAGTCACGTGCGTACAACGAGAACGTGTTCCTTAGTACCTGCATCACCTCCTTCCACCTGCTTCAGCGGCCGCCGCGGAACTTCGAAGCCTTCGTCGGTGACCATTTTCGCCGCCGGGCGTTTCCGATTCTCGCCGCCTGCGCCGCGTACGCGAGTGGGCGCGTGGAAGTTGGCTATTACGGTTGTGAGTTGCGTGTTTCAATGGTGCAAGTTTCGAGGAGTTTCAAGGAGCGGATGGTGGTGCTTTACCCTAAGCTTCTCGAAGCGTTTCGAAGGAATGGCGCTTCTTTGGAGGGTTTGGGGGAGCAGTTGGAGGTGGCGAGTGAAGAATCTGAAAACAAAAACGGTGGAAAGAAGAAGCAATGGAGAAACAAAAGCAGGGGAGTCTTGAAGAAGATTGTGGAAAAGATCAAAAAGGCTTTCAGACGGAACAAAATTGGGAAGTCTTGAAAGTGTTTGAAAATTAACTTGTTGGTTCTGTAGTTATCTCTTTCTTTAGTGATCGAAGAAGTAGTGCTTATAGTTTATTATGGACTTTTGATAAGATTGAATGGTTGATCGGAGGAAACAAAAGAAAAAACCACTGTACTTGTTCATGATGCAAGTTTTGGTTGTTATCATATCTCTGTTAAACATGCTGCAATGTACATGCAATTGTGATTTATTATTAAAATGTAGTGTTCCATTGGTCAGCAAATTCATGGAGACACAAATCAAACCTCACTTACTGGCACCCAGAAAACTCTGAAGTTGAATTGATTGGTTACTTTGACTCATACTGGTAGGAATGATGATAAATCTGATGGCTTGTTGAGTACTGCAGATTGTGGTAGTATGTGTGGAGAAGCACTGTCTCTTGGTGCTTGAAAAAGGAATTTGTGGTATCTCTATTCTCGTTTGAAGCTAAGAATATTGTAGTTCCAATCAGTACTCATCAAGCTATATGGCTTGATACATTGATGAAAGAGATCAAAGTCTAATTCAATCAAGTTATTTGTAAATTGCATATCAGTAATTGACTTAGCCAATCAGTAAATGGAAGGGGTAAACACAAACGAACAATGGGGGAATGAATCCCACGGTACTGCAGAACCAAATTACTTGTAGAAAATATCTTTTTAAAGGCTTTGTAGGAATTAAGGTTAATTGTCTCCTCCAGTGAGGAGTGTTATTAGATAATTGAAATAAAACAACTATTGCAATTGACTCTGTAATGGGTCAGTGAGCTGAGGTGATTGTTTAGTTCTTTGTTTGGATTTGGGAGTGGATGAAAAAAGAGAAAATGGAAACTACGGTTTTTTGATTGAGGGTAAGAGAGCAAGAAATGTAGAGAAATGAGTGAAATAATAATTTAAAATATATAATAACTAAAATATTTTATATTGATAAAAAATAAAATAATTATAAATTACAATTGTGATATAATTTAATTTAAATTAATTAAATTATATTCTAAAGATATTTTAAAACTATTTAATATATAAAATATAAAAAAATTATGATTATTAATTACAAATCATATATGAATTATAATTTGTGATTATTTAAAAATTTTAAAATTACTAAAATCATTTTAAAATAATTTTTAACTATTAATTACAAATCATATATACATTTTTATTTCCAATATTAATTAAAAAATAAAATATAATGAAATAATTCATAATAAAAATAAATCAAACTTTATTATTATTTTAAAATTACTAAAAATTATTTAAAAATAAAATTTAATTATTAATTACAAATTATATATGATTTTTTATTTCAAGTACTAATTAAAAAAATAAAATATAATGAAATAATTCAAAATAAAAAATAAAATCATTTACATGTTAAAAAATTAAAGTTATATTTAAATATAATTTTGATTTTATTATAATAAAAAATTATAAAATCACGTATAATTATAATTATATATTATTAATATTTATTTATATATAATAAAAATAATAATATTTTTTTAATATATACGGTTACTTATATTATATAAAAGGTTATACAAATATATTTAATCGATTATTTATTCAAAATATAATTTCATGGTTATATATATATATATATATATATATATATATATATATATATATATATATATATATATATAATATAATACACATAAGTTTAATTCAAAATAAAATAAAACAAAATGTAGCATATAATAAAAAATAATATTATATTATTAACTTTTATAAATAACTAAATATAACTTTTATATATATATATATATATATATATATATATATATATAATACAAACATATAAATATTAAGTAAAAAAAAATATTATAGATTATAGATAAAATTATGAAATGAGATAATATATTTTAAAGTAATACGGACCATAAACATGATGTAAATAACTTTGTATGCATTTCTTTTCATATAAAAAGAAAAAAGGTAAAGTATTTAGATCTGATAGTCTTTCTTCTTATATCAGCACAAATTATTTAATCCAAACATAAATTTTCTCTTCAAATTTACACCCTCATTTCTTTATAAACAGTAAAACTATGAAACAAAGATTTATAGATATAAAATGTGTGGTACAATTTAGTATTTGTTTACTGTGAAAAAAAATTGTCAATCTAATTTATATTTTAAAACAAATGAAAAATTATAATCTATTCTATAAGTTCATTAGGTTAATGAATTAATTTTAGTATGATCTTATATTATGTCATAGATTAATGGTCAACTTGATTGATTTTTTTTTTAATATTAACATATATGCACTAAATTAGTTTATTACAAAAATATTTAAATAAAAAAATATATTTTTAAAATTTAAATTTTATTAATACAATTAATTTTTAATTAAGATATAATGATTTAAAATATAAATTATAAGATAATATAATTATTTCATCTAAAAATAAGAAAAAAATTAACATTTTATTATTATTATTATTATTATTTATTAGTAATTTATTAATTTTGAATAATAATTAATTTTAATCATTAGATCTTGGAATAAGTAATTATTATAATTTTAATTTGATATTTATTTTTAGAATAATAAATTAGTTTAAAATATATATGTTTTTTTAATATAATAATATTATTTTTATTATTTTAAAAATAATTATTATTCTATAAATCAGATCATGCTTATAAACCTAAATCTACGTAAATCATAATTTAAATAGATCGAATTAAAATAGATTTGATTCTAAATAATAATTATTTTATACCTTATTTATATATAAACATTTCAGAATTAAGTCTATTAACTTAGTAATATAAAAAGGCACCACTTATAATTTTTATTTTATTTTAGCTTTTATGTGAACTATTAGATACTAGAAAAAAAAAGTAAAAATAGAGTTATTTAAATTAAAGAAAAAAATAAAAATAAGTGAACATTAAATAAATTTATTTATTATTAATAATTTATTATTATTTTGAAATATTTTTAATATGTAATTTTTAATTTATTATTATTGTAATAAAAAAATTAATTATGTTTCGTTTTTTTTTTCATAAAAGAAGATAAAAGTTTGTCTTCAATTCATAGTTTTTTTTATATATATTAGAATACTTACAATTATCATATATTTTTTTAAATAAATAATCATTTATAAATTCGATGGGATGATAAGAAACAATCCTATAAATAATATATTTTAAAAAAAATTGACTCAAATAAAATTTCTATTAATTTATTTATTTATGTAATCTTTTTTACTTTATGTGCACTTTTACTTTTTTTTTCCTCATAATTTATAGATTTTTTTCTTTTTTTATTGACTTCTTATTTTTTTCTTTTCTATTTTATCTCTCTTGATATTTTCTCTTATCTCTTTATTTTTTTCTGATTAAACTATTGTATTAAAATTTAATAAAAATATATTAAAACAAATATTTTAAATTCCTCGTTGAAACTAAAAAAAATAACTAATTATTTAAAATTATTACTATGACAGTAAATAATTTTCTTTATAATATATTAAAAATTGATTTAAAATTATTTTCATAAAACATAATTACCCATTTAATTAAAAATATTAATTATTTATGAATTAAATGCATTTTTTCTTAGTAATTTAATCTAATTATAATTAAGTTGAATTATCATAATTAATTAGATTAAGTAATTTTAAAAAAATATTTATTAAAAAAGTTACTTTAAAATAATTTTTTGTTTTTTTCTTAATCATTATAACATATCAATAATACTTACAACATATTAAATTTATCATATAATATTTTTTAAAATGTAATATATTAAATTATAGAATTTTTAAATCATTTAAATATTTTTATTTTTCATAAATAATAAAATATTCATTTCATCAAAATTTAATTAAATATTTTTAATTAAAGAATAAGATGGTGTAGGAGGAGAAAAAACAAATAAAGAGGAAAAAGAAACAATAAATGAAAATAAAATAATAAAAAATAAATAAAGAGAAAGAAAAATAAGATAATAAATAAGAAAATAAAAATATTTATATTATCGCAGATAAATTTATTTTTTTATTAAATTTTGTGTATGAAAAATAAATAGATTTAAGATAAATAAATTAAAAAATATCTTATTTAAGTAAGTTTTTAAAATATATTATTGGTGAGATTGACTCGGATATTAAAGGTTGAATACCATAAAATTAATATTTAATTTTTTAAAAATAAATTATATATATATATATTAAAATGTCTCATATTTTTTTTTTAAGTTTCTGTGCTAAAAAGTTTTTCATATTTAACAAGTTTTTTTTTTTTTTAACTCTTACAAAAACACATGGTAATTGAGAGAGTAGTAGAATTAAACTTATGAAGAGAACCAACCTAATTTAACAAATTTTTGGAGAGTTAGTAGAATTTTATATGTTTGATTCTCTTTGTAACTCTGACGACTTATTTTGTTGTTACGGTAACTGTATAAGTGGTAAAAAAGGGGAAAGGAAGAAAATTATAAGGGTAGTTTTTAAAAATTTGTTTTTTATTAAGTAATTAATGTAAACTTTAACACAAATTATTGTAAGACAATACTCTATCTTAATATGAGAAGTGATACTATAAAAAGTTTTTAAAATCTTTATCATATTATTTGAAAACTAAAATAAAAAAGTATTTAACTAAAATAATAATAAAATTACTTAAATTTATTAGCATAAAAAAAAAAGTTTGCGTGGATGATAAGGCAGAACTGTCTTAATAAGATAATGGTATACTAAAAGTAGGTTTTGTGTTGTTGTAATTATTAGGACAAATTATTTATTATTGGAACTGATAACTAACATTAACCACTTATAATTTAAGCATACTTTTTATAATATAATTTATTCTATGTCTAAAGTAAAACTAATTATAAACACTCCCAAACAAAATTATAAATAGCATGTCTTTATAGAGACATTGAGGGAGCTATCTTCTTGTCATTCAAATTAGATAAAAATCTATGTTAAATAATTTATAGAAATACTATAATTTTATATATTATATTTTTTAAAAATATATGATAATTTTAAAATATTATAAATATTGTTATTATATTATAATTATTAAAAAAAACAAATATTTATTTTAAAGTAATATTTTTAATAAATAATTTTTTAAAATTTAACTAATTATCATAATTCAATCATGATTAAATTATTAAGTAAAAAATACATTTAGTTCATAAATATTGAATATTTTTTTAATTAAAAAAATAATTTTTTATTATGATAAAATATTTTTAAATTAATTATTTATGTTATCTTATCACAATAAATAAAATTATATTATCATCATAATTTTGAATTATTAGTTTATATTTGTTAGTTTTAATGTTGATTTTAAAATAAGAGGAATAAGAAGTGAATTAGAGAAGAGAAAGAAAATAAAAAATAAATCTGGAAAGAAAAAATAAAATAAAATTATGAGGAGCAAGATTAAAAATTGCTAAACTTTAAATCTTGAATACATCTACTTAATAAATAAATTAATAGATATTTTATTGAAATATTATTTTAAAATATATTATTTATATGATTAATTTAACTTATTCTTTTAAGGCTTTATCCGATTATTAAAAAAAATAAAATATTTATAGTCTAAAAATAATCACAAGGTTAATATTTATTTTTAAATACAATAGATAAATAAAATTTAAAATTATTAATTATGAAATTATCTTTATAATCATTAATTTTTAAATTATTTTTAAATTAATATTAGATTAATATTTTTTTCCTGATATATAATTATAAAATATTTTTACTATAAAATTAATTATGTTTTTCTAAAAATATTTGAATTTTAAAAAATATAATATATATGGAATTATTGACATTATTATATTTATGACAATCTATTAAAATATTATAATCAAAAGTTAATATATATATATATATATATATATATATATATAAATTAAAACTTTAAATATAAAAATAAATAGCTATTTATTTGATTAAATGAGCATAATTTTATAAATAAAATTCTTTTATATTTTACATTTATACGTGTGAAAAATAAAATATATGTTACAGTGAAAATATTTTGTTTATTAAATAATACAAATATTTATTTTCACTCAATTTTACATTAATCACTTTTTATAAAATAAGAAAGATGTACATACCCTAAGTCATTCAAACTAGATGTTATCAATACAAAATATTTATTTATATAATTTTCTTTTCTCCATTTATGTGGTTTCTTTCTCAGCAATTTCTTTATATTTCAATATCTTATAAAAAATATTATAATTATTATAAGATTATTTTATAATTTTATAAATATTGTAGATTATGTTTATCTCAAATTATTTGTGTAAAATGTTATCGAACTTTAGCGCTAATAATTTTAGTTAAAAAAATCTAATTGTTTACATTTAATGAAATATATTCTTTTAATATTGTTCTTTTTCATTCACATGATTAAAATTTACGTTTTTACTTAAGTGAACATATTTTTTCTGCTATACTGTTTTTTACCTTCTAAACACTTATAAAATGGAAAATAGTACACTGTTAAGTGAATTTCGCATACACCTTAATTTAAGTATTTACTGAAATTCACATATATTTACTTAATGATAAAAAAATTGTTAATAAACATCTTGCTATAACATTAGAAAAAGTAAAAATTAGAATATTATATCGATAAACTTTGACCGATTTTTATGGAGATGGTATATTCAAAAACTGAATCGAAATCAAAATCATATTTTCCGCATAGACAATAAAATTAATTTTGAGTACATAAAAATAAATTGGGTTGTTGGAGTTTGAAGAAAATTGATTTTTCAATATGAAAGGTACATTATATTATTTTTCACTTTGCTATCTCTTCTCATATCTTTAAACTTTATTTCTTTTTTTTTATCCTATTTTTTCCACACTCTTAAATAAATAAATAGTAAGAACTCAATACAGTTTTACTACAGGAATATTATTATGAGAATATCAAAGGAAGTGTTTAATAAGAATTATTTAAAAATAAAATTAAATATTTTATTATAAGTATTAAGTTGAATTACTTAAAATTTGATTAAATTACTTATACATTCAATTTTTTTCTAATTTTAAATAATTATTTTTATTTTAAAAAAATATAAAACTTATAATAAAATATTTAATTTTATTAATAAGCAAACTACATTTAAAAATTCCCTAAAAATGTATAAAATTTTAATCAACAAAATCCAAAAATAGTTCATAAAATAAAAATTGATAACAAGGAAGAAACCGCTATCATTTGTACAATTTGTTACTAAAAACCAAAGTTTGCTGAGTTGACAATGATTATGCTAGTAAAACCTCAAATTCACGGCCCAGAAGAAACTATATCCAGCACAATTTAATTCTTGGTTATCATTGTTATACTACTGCGTTATAATCTGGGAAAACAAAAAAATATACACAATTGCATCACAAAAGAACAGTGAAACTAAAGAACCTCTACAATTTGGACTGTTTCTTGGAACTTCGACCAGCTATGAATTCCTGCATCTTTCTGAATTGCTCCTTCGTCATTCCGTTATAATAATCATGAGCCCTCTCCTAAATTTCAAACACAGGTAGAGAATTTGTCTGTAAGAAGATTTTGAGTGTACAGGTCTAAGGCTACAGATACACAAATGACGAAAATTACAAAAACCCCGGGAAGGAGGATTATTGATTACATAGAAGAGAGAAGCATAAAATGGATATTGCAGATTCAGTCTCAACGAGGAAAGAAATAGTGGGAAAGAGAGAGTAAGCAAATCAATCACCAGATAGAATTTCAGTGTAACACAACCTTTCTCTGTTATTTTCCAATGTTTACAAAAGATAGCAATACATTAATCTTCTGGTTGATGGCAATTGCACTGGGATCTGAGGCCCCTAAATCGTGTTTCATTGGATAAATTAACCCCAATGATTGCAAACTAATTTGAATAAGGATACACTTGCAAAGACAATTTTGACCAATAAATAGATTTTAGAATCTGGAACAAATTTTGCATCAGTAAGGTGCACTCACTTACCAAGTTGAGATAGGCCACTCATAATTTGTGGGATATGAGTATTATTCTTTCCAAGCAGACCCATCTTTCTTCATGTTAAAATGAAATGAAATTTTCCGTATGCTAAAATTACTTTTCTGGCTAATCATCTACAGTATTCTTACCACCAATCCACATGTAATGAAAGAGACAGACATCACTGTTATGTTACCCTAGACCAGATCGAATGCAATTTGTTTCATTAAATCGATGCCATCTAATGGTACAGAGTACTAACCTTTTCAAGGGAAAGAGCGGTGCCAAGATCAAGTTTGATGCCATCATTGATGACCGCCTTGTACCTCAACACCAAGTCTTGGTTGTTTTTCACAATAGCATCCGCAATTTCCCTGCTTTTCTTCAACAACTCACCCTCTTCAACAACATGGTTCACGAAACCCAACTTTTCAGCCACCTCAGCGGTCAAAGGGGAGGCCGCGAGAGATACCTCGCGCGCTTTGTTGACCCCAATGATGCGCGAAAGCTTCTGAGACAAACCCCACGACGGAAATATCCCAAACCTGCAACAAACAGGTGATGGGCTTGTTCAAAATTTGGAGAGTTGATTTATTTTTAGGATTAAGGGAACGAACCTAGCGTGTGTGTCCATGAACTTAGATCCCTTGGCAGCGACCAAGATGTCACAGGCGAGGGCAATTTCGAACCCGGCGGTGACGGCGAATCCTCTTATGGCTCCGATTATCGGTTTCCGGCAGAGCTCCATTTGCACCACCGGGTCGCTCTCCGGATCCTTCACATCGCCCTTGAAGACGTCCTCCGCTGCCGTGAGATCCACGCCCGAACAGAATGACCGACCCGATCCGGTCAATATGATAACCCGAACCGAGTCGTCCCGGTCCAGTGCCTTGAAAGCCTGGGCCAGGTCCACCATCATAGGCCGGGTGAGCGAGTTAAGAGAACCGGGACGATTAATCGTGACCAGTGCGACGCCGTTTGGGTGGCGGTTTACGATAATGAGTTTCTCCGCTGTTTGGCGATCCATGTTTGTCCCGAATCAATCTTGATTGTCTGAAATTGGCTTAAAAAGATAGGTAGTGGGTCTTTCTTTAGGGATGCGTGACCTGAAGGCATTATCTGACAGAGATAATTATCCTTTATTCATAACAAAATAAATATTATTTCATATAATTATAATTTATAATAACTATTTTTTTAATATATGATGATATTTATGTATTGATGTAATAATGATTTATATTGTAACAGTGATGTTATTTTAAATAATTGATATTTTAAAGAAATATTAAATTTAATTTTCTAAAGAAAATAATATGCCCGAGATCGTGAAAAGATGTTAAAGACTAACAATTTGTTGGTTCTAGTTTTTTGTTTTTTAAGATTTTGAGTTTGAATTTTATGATGAAACGATTAATGTTTTAAGGCAACTGTTGCGAACATTCTAAATGAAAAGCATATCTATTATAACTTAAGCAAAACTATTTAATATTAATTTAATTTAATATTGTAGAACAGCGTTACAATAGTATGATTTTGTTTGATTTAGGGGATACAAAGTGATAGGATCGTGAAAAAAAATGATAGGTTGAAAATAAAATTATTTAAATTAAATAAAAGAGAATAGAAATAAAAGAAAAAGTAAGATAAAATTTATTTTTTTTATTAATATTTTATTATTATTAATTTTTAATAATTTATTATAATTTCAATTATTTTAAAAACAAGTTCATAATTGATAATTAATTGTTTTTAATAATAAAATATATTAAAGAACTAACATAATTAGTTATGAAATTATTATAATGATTATTTTTTTCCTTTTTAATTGTACGTAGAAAAAAATAAAGAAATAACATTTTGTAAGAATAAAATCCAAAATTGATATATCTTATAATGGTTAAAAACAATAATTTCAAATTTTACCGAGATAAAAAGGAAATTGTTTTTATAGGAAACAAAATGAAAAATGACTGTTTTAGATAAATATTATTCTTATGTGACCACTTAACCACTTAAATCGTATTGAAGTAAATCACACACAATTGAGTTTTTTTTTTAGTTTAACACTTAACTATTGGAAGAAAAAAAGAGGTTATAATACAAATGGATAACTATTTATTCCTGTTAATTACGAATATGATTCTTAACAACACTTTGTTCGTTTTCACAGTTGATATGGTTTGTCGACAATGAAAGAAAGAATCTATATGTATTTATTTTATTTGTGTTAGTAGATTTGGAAGGGTGTGTAAAGATTTATATAAAACTTTCAACGGATAAATGATAAGAAAGAAAATGTCACACACGATCATATTTATAAACTACTCAATTGTGGGACATCCGAAAATCAATTATAGACTACTCATAATTGTTTTTTTTTTTTTGCATTTTTAATTATAATAATAACAGATAAATAAAAATAAAAATATTATATTGTAAAATAAAGCAGATTCCATGAAAACTGAACATTAACACTCTCACTCATGATTTTCACTATCTCCTAAACTTTCTATAATTTTTAAATTTGATTTTAGCATGACGAATTAAACACCCACACCACATAACAAGTCAAGATTGAACGAGTCCTCGAATGTTACGTGGCCAAATATAATTGGAACCGCCATCTAAGAGACGCTTAGCGATGATAACATTTGCAGCATCAGAAGGATGATAGGGGTCCCAAAACACATACTTGGATCGCTCCCAGCAAACTTTCGATGTGGGACCACATGGAACCAGACCTCCGAAGCTCCCAGCCACGTGACAACAAGCTGAATATGGATTAACAAAACCTGCCACACGCAATAAAATGTTTGTTCATAAACACCTTGCAAATGCAAATTCAAGGTTCTATTATAAGATTATTTACCAAACCAGATAGGCACATACATACCAAGTGCTACATAATTCTGGAGAATATCTTCTAAAATTTGATACACATCTGCATAAACAAACGATGAACCCTCCAGATTTGAGTTGAGTTCTGCAACAAGGTCCTTTAGTTGGGCATTAAATAGCTGTGCTAGCTGATTGGGGAAAGAAATACAGCTATCTCCAGCACCAGGGTTTGCATCCCTCTGACTTGGTATACACCCTATAGGCCCCACATTTGCCACAACAATTTTTCTAGCCCCCAGATTGAACAACCTCTGCATGTGGAACAAATGTTGAAATATAATAAAAAAACATAACATAACACCAAAATTTGTAGGAGAAATGTTTAGAAGCAGGGATTTGACAAAGTTATAATCATGAAGAACATTACAGTGAGCTGAAGTCTGAGTTTTGATATCATTTTGGTGACAAAGAATTGTGGAGACACCGTTTTCCGCTCAGAAAATGGGAGTGCTGGTGTTAGGTAGTTATTTATGAAATCGTTTGCGCCTATTGACACGGAAAACAACGACCTGTTTAATAGATTAAGAGCCGCAGGAAAACCAATGCTGATTATGATGTCTTGTCTGGTATTTGCAAAACAATCTATCTGTGCATCGAAGTTGAGTCGACCACCCTAGCAATCCATCAATGCATGCACATTGTTATTATTATTGTATGATGATCTGAGATTACCAGGGTCTTACCTTGGTAGAAATTATTGTATGATAATGATGTAAATCTATGATAATTTTTTGACGATTAAATAACAGAGACTCACAAAGACTTTTCCAGTGAAATTGAGAATTCCACCTCCACCAGAAGCATAATTGACACCCTTCAGAATCACTGGTCCAACTGTGGTGGGTGCCAAATAAGGTGGGGTTAAATCCATACCCAGTTCCTGACCTGGTGGAGAAAGAAAAATTCATAAGACAAAAAAAATTAATAATATTAATAACTACTTCAACTACATAAAAGCACAGGAAATAATAACGAGGTGGTAAATCTTGCCAATGATGTCGCTAATGGTTCTTCCATTAGTGAACCTTCCCGTTGGTTTTCCAAAATCAATGCCATTGGGTACATAATTAGCCTTTGAGAAGGAAACAAGATAGTTATTGTTTCCCACATCAACAAGGGAATCTCCGAATACAAAAGTTGCTGGGAGATCCTCTGAAGTTGAAAAGCTAAACAAGACCAATTCTATGAAAACTCGAAGCACAATCCCAACATTGATGATCCTGTTCAAATGGTTACCCATTAGAGAGAGAAAGAACAAAACTTATGACTGCAATGAAGTACTGAATCAGGATCCTCCGATGCTGTACTTATCACTGTGCTGCATTGTACCAAAAACAATGGGCTTTATAATGCGCACAATACATTGGCGTTGGATAATAACGTTGGAATATTATAATAAATCATGTGAGGGCATAATATCATGCAGTGGGAAAACATTAATTGCCCTGCCTATAATAAACCCACTAGCCTTGACCGTGTCGTTGGAGGGAATAAATGGCATTTCAAGGTAAAAATAGATACTTCAATCAAATTTTAATATATATATATATATATATATATATATATATATATATATATATATATATTATATTACTGTGAAAATAGGACAATATCATTAAAATGATATTTCCGATGGTTAGCAAAGTTTGAAATACTGTACATCAAATATAAAATCATAATTTATCTTTATTCGTAAAAAGATCTTAAAAGCTATATAATTAATACTAATATTTATTTGTTCTTAAGAATTTCTTTTATTAAAAATATAGTATTTTTGATAAAAAAGTATTTAAACATATTATATATAAATATTTAAAACCTCTTTTTATACTAAATAAATGGACTTAATTTATTGATAATCATGAACTAATTAAATATATTATTTTGTATGTCAAAGTGACTGGTATTTCATGTTAAAAAAAATATTTAACTTTTCAATAAAATATTAAAAAAAATTATCTTCAAATAAACTTTATGGAAATAATGAGTTTTGTGCATTCTTGCATATCAATCAGTGAACTACCATAGTTAATAATCTAATAATTATAAATATAATACAGTAACTAAAAAATATTTTAATAAAAAACCTTAAACACCAATATAAAATAGTTCTATATTATCCGAAAATACTTTCATTATCAGACTACAAGTTCTGCTGTACTATGTTGTGTGCAATTCATTGTAGTTTCGGTCACAAGCTTCTAATATTTAAAATCTTCTCTACCTACTGTACTGTATTAAAGAGGCTGTTCAAACTTCAAACTTCAGAAGTAATGAATCTTCACGCTTTCTAATTAAATGCATTTCAGTAAAAGAAGAGAGAGGATTTAATGTTGGCAGGGAAGGGACTTCATTCAATTCATATCTTCGTTGCCTTAAATGTGAGAAAATCCACACTGTCGATATTTATTGAGTAATACTTTTTTTTTCTGCACATAATTTTTTATTATTTCTTTTCTTACCAATCCTATTATAATAATATTATACTAATAAAATGTTTCTCGTTTATCATATATGATCTTATACATACTTTAAATTAAACACAAAATTTTGAATTAATATAGCTATATATATATATATTTATATTTGAAAATTTAAAATGAAAAATCCATACACTTTGTAATTGATATTAAATGGTGCAGGTAGCATATATGGAAGAAGAATGGGGGACATGCATAAACTTAAAGAGATTTTATAAACTACATTACAGCCATGAACAGTAAGAAAAAAGGAAGTACCATACTTGGTTGTTGATGAAGTGTGGCATCATGTTCATGCTTCCCTCATCCTCCCCCTCCACCTCAACTCAACTACTTCAATGCAATACTGGTTTCATCTTTTTGACTTTGCTCCATTTTTTTTATGCATACACTGTGCCAATTAATTTTAGTTAATTTATCGTTTTCCAATTTTAAAAAAAAAATGCATGCATCCATAATACTTGTTATGTTATTATTCAATTACAAATTGTTAATTTTTTTTTCATCCTACATTTTTTGTCAAGCATGGTGAAGGCCTTGTATTTTCATGTTGAATTTGATTCTCAAATTTGGAAAAAATACATAGACTTAATATCTTATAATTTAAAAAACATGATAAATATTTAAAGGGAAAAATAAATTCATCTGTTTTAAAAATTTTGGGGACCAACTTATTTAATATGAAAGAACACTAACCATAATTTCATTTTATTGAAATTATAACAACATAATTAATCAAATATTTTTCAAGAAAAATCTAAAACAACAATAATTTCAAAGAGAGAGAGAGAGTAAATTATAAAGAATTTTACCCACTTTCCTTTAAGATGTTAATATCTTTTTTCACTAGATTTTGTACACGATAAGTAAATTTACTTTTTGTTGTGTGCTTTTACTTTCTTCACAAAAAAACGAAATTACCATTTAAAAAACCCACACTCTTTTTTTTTAATATTTCCCAATTAAGTCATTCACTTTGTAACTCCCCCCGCCCCTTTTTCCTACAATTTTACCCAATCAAAAGACATTAAACTTAATGTAAATAAGGAATATTTAGTAGAGGTTAATTATTATAGTTAAACTGAAATGCTCTTATTTAATATTTTAATATTGATTGATAGAATTTTTATATTTCTTGTTCTGAAAGTTTTACATCATTTTGAAATTATGATTTAAAAGATAATTTATTAATATTTTCTTTATTTATTTAGTGGGTTATGGTGTGTAATAAATTAAAGTAAACAAAATATAATCTATAATATACTACTAGCTCTAAATCTACTTTTGCTTGAGGTCTATCACCTGTAAAATCTGCTTCCTGTAAAACACGATCATCACAACTAAAAATATATATAAAACACACAGGATAAACTAGTAATTCAATTTAAGTATATATGATTCAAATGTAAGATAAAACAACATAATTCAATAAAATATAATCTATAATACTACTAGATCTAAACCTATTTTTTCTGAGGTCTATCACCTGTAAAAATTTGCTCCCGTGTAAACACATGATCATCACAACTAAAAACATATATAAAACATACAGGATAAACTAGTAATTCAATTTAAGTATGTAAGATTCAAATGTAAAATAAAATAATATAATTCAACTTAAAGTTTTCTTATATCACATCACACACCCATACAAACTCACATTCATGACAACTTCTAAAAGACTAGATATTTAAATAAACATCAGAGATCTACATCTATTATACTACAACTCTCCGAAGTGCATAACACAAGGGCATAATTCTAAATGATTTATTAAGACACAGTTCTTTTTCATACTGCAGGTTAAGTCATTAGAAATCCATGTGACTAGAGTACATTTCTAAATGACTTATCAAGACACAATTCTTTTTAATACTGCAGGCTAAGTCATTAGAAACACGTGTAACTAGAATAAATTTCTAAATGACTTATCAAGATACAATTTTTTTTTACACCATAGGCTAAGTTATTAGAAATTCTCTTCAACTCTTAGCACATAATTCTTTCATCTATGTGATTCCAGTGATCAATAAAGTTAGGATATCTTCTCAAGTCCCAAATTAATATCTATACATACAACACTACACACATGAGAATACCTCTTAGTAATTCTCATATCACAACACCACATTTTTAAGACATATAATAGCATTTTCAACACATCTCATTTCATGTCCATAACATGTATTTTAATAGCTTAAGACACATACATATCATTTCTCACATTATAACAAAACATAATTTTTTTTCTAACTTGACCTCTACTTATTCTTTTGATCATATTATTTTTTCGTAGACATCCTTTTTAACTAATTTTTATTTTATTGGATTCTTTATTTTCAGGACTTTGATTTTTATATATAGAACATTAAATTTGGAGTTTGGAGCTATTTTTTATCATTTTTTGAAAACTGCTGAGCAATTCTAAAAACGTTGAGCAGATTTTAAACCACTAAACATATTTGAAATTGCAGGGCAAAATTTTGACGAAATAAAACCTACACACTATCTTAAATCAGTTAGGCGAATTTATGGTAGTAACAAACTATATAATCTACTCAATACCCTATTTCTAATATTCTAAATCAAATTAATTATAAACTTTACTCTCATTATTGTAAATCAATTAACTAAATTCAATTAATTCAAGAATAATACATTCATATAAAAGATTATCTTTCTCAATCTCATATAAATCACTTATACATTTATATTCAATATAATCATCACAATTCAACACATACATAATCACACAATTCAAATTATTGAAACTCAAATAATATGACTAAGTCACCTCCACAATCTAGATCTTTTAGCCTAGATTACTCTTAATATTGAAAAATAACTAACTTTTCATACTTCAAACACATGCTTTCAAGTTAAAGAATCCAAAAAACTCCTAATTTTTAGGAAGATAGATCATATTCACAAAACAAATTGAGCATATCAAAATATTCATAAACTAGTAAAGATTCTTTACACAACAAAGTCTACATTCAAGCTCCTAAGGCCCACATGAGACCTAAGCTCAAAATATACCAAAATAGTCTAAAATTAGGAAAAAAATAAAATTACTCTATTCAAAATTTTGTCTTCACAAGTACTAAGGTGTACTTGGATCTAAAAAAATATGAAAGATGAAACAATAGATTTAGAGAACAGGCAGATAAAAGAAAGTTGCAGAGAGATAGTGATTTTGTGAGAATGAATGTTGAATATTTAAAATTTTCTATTTATAATTCTTTTTAACTTAAATGGTAAAATTTCAAACTTACTCTCACTATATCACTTCTACTTTTAACTCACTTAAACTTAATCTTCCCATCAAATTAAAGCAACTTCAAATAATTTTTATTTTGTTTAGAAATATTGATATTTACTATGATGTCAAAAGAGAGTAGACACTACTAGAAAATATACTTTCAATGTCGTTGTTTAACGTCGGTTACATCTTAGCCGACGTTGAACATGCTTTCAACGTCGGTTGGTCAACAACCGACGTCGAAAGTCGAATTTTGACACATTCTACGTCGTTTTAGCATGCACGACGTGGAAAGTAGGCTTTCGACGTCGGTTATGCCCTCACCCGACGTTGAAAACCCTTCTGAACTCATTATGACCGATCAGAATACAAATATGACCGATCAGAATCAAATGTGATCGATCAGATTTTAATTATGAGCGATCAGAATTTTTTCAATCGATTAAAAACACGTTTCAATCGATTAAAATCTCTTAAAGGGTCAGGATGATCGATCAG